CTCGTAAGTCGTCCTGACGCCCCCCCAAAACAGCCGTCTCGTCCTGACTTCCTGTGCTGACCTGGACTGGGGAGCCGTCTGGCGCGTCCATTAAAGATGCAGAATTAAAGATGGCGTCAGCCGGCGGGAGCCTGATGTGGCCAAAAAGCCTCTCAAAGCATTTAAATGCGTTTTCTTAAAGGGACAGAGGTTGGTGGGTTTTTTTGTTTTCCTCCTTGACCAAATGTGACCGGGGGCTCCTTCCTGACTTCCTGTGCTGACCTGGACTGGGGAGCCGTCTGGCGCGTCCATTAAAGATGCAGAATTAAAGATGGCGTCAGCCGGCGGGAGCCTGATGTGGCCAAAAAGCCTCTCAAAGCATTTAAATGCGTTTTCTTAAAGGGACAGAGGTTGGTGGGTTTTTTTGTTTTCCTCCTTGACCAAATGTGACCGGGGGCTCCTTTTAAAGGGGAGTCCCTTTTTATTTTTTTTCTCGACAACTTTGCCCCGGCTCTTCACGCTGGATCCACTGATTTCTTGGCTCTTTGCCCAGAATGGGTTGGCCACCCCAGGTCTGGAGGGTTAGTCAGGAGGAATGTAAGCAGACAGGGCAAGGAAGAAGGCTGGTCTAGCAGCTGAACTCACTGTTTTGGACAGTGAGAAGCAGGTAGAGACTTGGGGGAAACCAGAGCTGCTCTTAGGCGGGGAGGTGAGCTGTCTAGCCTCCTACTGCTCTGTTAGCTTGGCGAATACTGTGGCCAGTGGAGGAGAGGAGATGAGCATGGACAGTGGGATGCAGAGCAGCCTGAGCTGTGTGATTTCATGATGTCCCTATATTTCAGACAGTCCACAGCCTAGAGTGGACAAGTCTCAGGTGCATTGCTGGTTTGTTAACCGTGCCAGTGCGGTGTAACGTGCCAGGCACATGAAACAAAACATGCCTGCCTCTTGCAAAGTTGCCACGGCTGCATTTCCGGGCAGGAGTGGGGTGGCAGCAACAGTTAGCAGTGAAGGGCTTAATCCTGGGGAGCAACAGCAAGGCCCATTGGGAGCTCTGATCTGCGTGTTGCTCTTCAGTTGTGTGTGCAGAACAGCCCTCAGGAGGCCCGGAACATGCTGCTCCAGAATCCTCAGCTGGCGTACGCTCTGCTCCAGGCCCAAGTGGTGATGAGGATCGTCGATCCGGAGATCGCTCTGGTATGTACGAGCCCGGGCTGGGCTCAGTAGAACACTGGAGAGGCGGGGCTGCGGGGGATGCCAGGAAAAGCCATGTCTAGTTGGTGCGCTCACAGCTTTTCTCTCCTCCATCTTCTGCTTTTAGAAAATTCTGCATCGTCAGACCACTGTTCCGCCTCTGATTCCGGGCAACGCACAGCCAGTTCCTGGGCCTGGACCTGGGCCCGGGCCCGGGCCAGGACCAGGGCCAGGACCAGGGCCAGGTCCTAACGCACAGATGAACCAGCAGAATCCCCCAGCGTCCCAGCCACAGCCCATAGTAAGAACATCTGTTCAGTTACGTTCCTGGAATGGAGGTTAGGGATGTGCAGTCCCCATGTGGAAGATGGATATGGATGTGTGGTGTTGAGAAGGGTTGTGTGTGTGTGGGTGGGGGACGACACAGGGTTCCCCACATGGTGCAGGGAACGATGCTCATGTCTGTTGCTGGGGCAGGGTTCTCAATGCGATTTCTTTGCTCTGCAGGGTGGCATGCATGTAAATGGAGCTCCTCCTCTGATGCAGCCTCCTATGCAGGGTGGCGTGCCAGCCCCAGGACAGATGCCAGCCTCAGTAGCCGGCCCAGGCCCTGGCCCCATGGCTCCCGGAGGTGAGCTCCTTGAGCATGTTCCTTTGCCTTCTGCGTGTCTGAATTCAAACTGTAAAAGTTGCCCAAAGCTTCTGCAGGGACAACATGTCCCATGGGCCCAGGCGCCTTGCAGGCTTTTAAGAGAGAGAGGCAGTTCCTCGGGGGAGATTTGAAGCCACGGGGAACTCTTGGGGCAGCCAGCTAGAAAGGGGCCATTGTCTCTACCGCTTGTCAGGCTCGGTGGAAATTGTTCTGTCCGAGGCAGGGTGGGGCGTCTTTATAGTTATCTGGGGGGACAGATAACTAGTTCTCTGCCCTTCCCCCCAGGAGGAATGCAACCTCAGGTTGGGATGCCGGGGGGTGGACCAGTGCCCTTGGAACGTGGACAAGGTAGGCCACATTGGTTGCAGCGTGCCATAGGGCTCCTTGCTTCCCCGCTGAGACTTTTCAAGGCCTAGTGCCAGGAGAGATGTTGATGGAACAGAGAATCCCCCCGCAGAACTGACCCTCCCCCCTTCCCTCGAGCTAACGGGATGTGTAAACGTTTTCCCAGCCTGTCTGTGAGTCCGTGTGCACCTGTCCCTCTGTCTGAGTGTGTGTCTTGTGAGCAGGGAGCGCCAGGCTTTCTCCAGGAACTCTCTTTCTGACACCTGGCAGATCCCGTGGTCTGGGAGCCAGCAAGTGCCTGCTCTGTGGAAGATTTGTCCGTGCTTTCTGTTGTTTGGCCAGGAGAGGGCGCAGGAGCTTTTCCTTTGCACAGAATGAGGGTGTGGAGGGTGCAGAGAGTGCTCCTATGGAGATGTTTCGCTTACTCCTCCCTCCACGTGTGGAAGGCAGTACACCAGGGATGTAAAATCCCAGTTACTCACTTAACCGTTAGGTTGACTTAACATTGATCCAGAGCAGGATCCAGGATCCAGGCTGGGGACTGTTGCATCCTCCAGGCCTGCACTACTGCTGGCTCCCAGCCCCCATGCTGGGGCCAGGGCTGGCTCTGCCGGCTCCCAGTCCACGGCAAGTGGGGAGCTGCTCCAGCCCTTACCAGTTATTCGGAACCAGTAAACATCACCCATTTAGGGTGCTGCTTACCAGTTAACTGTTCACAGCCGCACTGTATGCCAGTGTCCATTAAAGCAGGGGCATCTCATCGGCCAGTGGGCGCCGTTTCCCACATCAGAGATGGTTGTTCTTTCCTGCTGTGGGCCATGGGGAGAGTCAATATCCTCCCTTAGTGCGTGTGTATATATATGGAGCTATACCTATCCCCTAGAGTTGGAAGGGACCTAGAGAGTTCATCGAGTCCAGTCCCTCTGCCCTCATGGCAGGACTAAGCACCATCCCTAATAGATTTGCCCCAGATCCCTAAATGGCCCCCTGAAGGATTGAACTCACAACCCTGCGTTTTGCAGGCTAATGCGCAAACCACTGAGCTATCCCTCCTTCTTCTAGCAGAACATAGCAAGTCCCTTGCTGAGATTTCAGCTTTGGGTTCTGCTCCCCCAGGGCCTCCGTGCTGCTGTGCAGAGCATTGCCAAGAAGCAGTGGATACGCTTCTTAGCAACGTGCCCGCTGTCCACGGGGTCTGAATAGCGGTGCTAAAACCAAACTGGCTAATGGCTGCGTTGCTCGGGGAAGCTCTGAGCAGAGGCAGTGGCACCGTCTCGTGGCACACGCAGGCACAGCCTGACACCTCATGCCACCTCCCACGTGCAGAAGGAATTCGGCAGCTCTCAGGGCTACACAGTTAATATAATCTAACTGGAAGTGTAAATGCAGCAGGACCAGACGGTCAAGGTCCCTTCCTCAGCCATGAAAACAGTGTTGAGTGAGTGGCCTTTTAACAGTGCAGGAGAAGCCGTCCCCCGCCTAGGACTGGCATTGGATGGTGTCTGGTCAGGGGCGTTATTGGAAAGTGAGGCCTGCAGATGGGCAGCGTCTCCTTTAGGGGTGCGAATGGTTAACCAGTCAGCATTGTCCTCAGCAGGTGAGGCTTACCAGTTGGGAGGAGCCAGCAGGGGCTGGAGCTGCCCCTCTGCCCGATGGGGGCAGGGGGCTGCTCTAGACCGGCCAGAGCAGCACACTGCATGCGGGGGCACCCCCAGCCCAGCCCGAGCAAGGGGCCGCTCCAGCCTGGCCGCAGCAGGCTGTGGCCTGGAGTGGCCCCACTCCTGCACCCATGTAAGCAGTTAACCAGTTAACGTTTAGCCAGGTAACTGATTACCCGGGATTTTACATCCCTCGTCTCTTCAAAAGAGGCAGTCCGAGTCAGCAGGACTCACTCCACCCAGGGAAAGGAGGCCGTCCGTGAGTCTGTGCGTGCGTACGTCTCTGTGCTATTTATGTGTCTGCTCTTTTCCCTCTTTTCCTGCTGCTCACCCAGGAAACCTGCAGCTCTCGCCCGTGGGACCTGCCAGGCCTGCATCTATCGAGCGAGTTCAAGGTATCCATGACAGCTGCCAGCTCCCTTGTCATGGGGCTCGGTGTGTAATGCATGGAAAAAGCCTGGACTTCAGCACGAGGGCTCTCTTCACTTGGGGTCGTGGGCTCTGTGTAGCTGGCCCAGTGTGGAAGGGAGCACTTGCTAAGGCACATCTGCCCCCTGGCTTAGGGGGCGTCTGGGGTTCTCCACGGAGCGGTCTTCTCTCTGGGAAGATTAACCAGTACGTGAGGAAAGAGACAGGAGAGCAGGCTCACGCTCAGCTTTTGCACCTCACGGACGTGGGGCGTCTGGGTTTGACCTCCTGGGTCTGGGCTGTCTAGGCTTGCGCTGACCTTGTGACTCGCACTGGGTGGGACCAGTCTTGTGGATAGTTACTGTGAGCTCCGTTCTCGACTTCTGTCAGCACAGTCACTGCAGGGTGCAGGAAGGGCTGAATTTGGCACAGAGGGCACCCGCTTCTGCGAGCTGCAGCGTTGTCTGTGGGAAGGTTTCCTTTTTGTTTGCTGTGCAGCACTTCCAGCCACGCCATGGACAGCAGCGTGGCCTCTCTCCAGAGCCAGTGTGTGTCTGTGAGCCATGGGGGGCACTGGGGATGGGGTTCGGTTGCACCCCACCACCGGGGCGGCAGGCGTGGTCCTTTCTTACAGGAGGACTTGGTGTAACTGTTCTTGACATCACTCATTTCCCTTGCTTGCCTCCCTGGCAGTGCCCATGCCGGACCCGAGGGCTCCTATGCAGCGGGGACCACTACCTGCCAGCGGCCCACCACCCCGGGGCCTTCTGGGTGATGCTCCAAACGACCCCCGGGGAGGGACCCTGCTCTCGGTCACTGGAGAAGTGGAGCCCAGGTGAGTGGGCCAGAGGATGAATTGGTACCAATCTGAGCCGTGGCGTTTCTGACTCCCCTGCTCCTGGCCTGGCCTCTTGTGGGAGCGATGGTTAAGTGGCACTGCCTGCCGGGTCCCGTGCTGGCTACGTAGAGCGATGTGTGCTGGCGATCCAGGTACACACGGCTGTGCGGCGGGAAGGGAGGGTGGCGTTGGCGGGAAGATTAGCATCCCTCCTTCCACGCCAAACTCCCCCACTGTCTGTGTGGCCGGCTTTGTGCTGCGATCAAAATACCGCGCCTCTCAGTGCCACGCTGGTGCCTGAGTCACATGCTCTTCTTTCTCCTTCTCTGTGTTCCTCCTTTTTCTACAGAGGCTACCTTGGGCCGCCCCACCAGGGTCCACCCATGCACCATATGCCCGGCCATGACAATCGTGGCCCACCCCCACATGAAATGAGGGGTGGGCCAATGGGAGAACCCAGGCCACTGATGGGAGAGCCAAGGGGGCCTTTGATGGATGCTCGAGGTGAGACGGTGGCTGTAAATAAAATGTGAAATGACCAAGAGAGAAGCTGGTTCTGTAGAGATGTGAGGAGAATGGGAAGGCGGGGGACAATTGGGCGGTGAAGGGAGATGCAAGAGCGTTACCCAGGGCTGACGCGAGGCACTAGGGGAGAAGGGTGCAGTTACACAGGACAAGGGAGAAGTTCACATTTGTCCTTGGGTGTCATTCATGCACTGTTTCTGGCCCTCCTTGGTGTTCTGCCAGTCACGAGACCAAAGGAGGCTTCACTTTCAAAAGTGGGTGTGTGCCCACGATGTTCATCATAGAGTTCCCTGCCGGGGTTTGCTTAGGGCATGTGTTTTCTCTGCAGGGGGAAGAGATCCTAGAGGCATGGAACCCAGAGGAATGGAGCCCCGGGGCATGGAACCCAGAGGAATGGAGCCCCGGGGCATGGAGCCCAGAGGAATGGAGCCCCGGGGCATGGAGCCCAGAGGAATGGAGCCCCGGGGCATGGAGCCCAGAGGGATGGAGCCCCGGGGCATGGAGCCCAGAGGGATGGAGCCCCGGGGCATGGCGCCCGGAGGGAGGGTGAGCTGGAGGCGGCCGGGGGAAGGGAGCACAGGGGCATGGAACCCAGAGGGATGGAGCCCCGGGGCATGGAACCCAGAGGGATGGAGCCCCGGGGCATGGAGCCCAGAGGCATGGATGGCAGAGGAATGGAGCCCAGAGGCATGGATGGCAGAGGAATGGAGCCCAGAGGCATGGAGCCCAGGGGTCCTGGCCCCAACCCAAGGGGCCCAATGCCTGGTGGAATTCAAGGACCTGGGCCACTTAACTTGGGAGCGAGTGGCCCTCAGGGACCTAGACAGGTACATGCAGCATCCTCCGCCCTAGTCTTACTCTGACAGATACTGACCAGCGCTTAGGGGCCGGGTTCGAAGTGACATCCGCGCTTTACCAGCCTACGTCCCACTACTAATGCAACCCGACCGCCAGAGAACCTCAGGGGTTGACAGCACTACCCCCCCAGGGGTCCTAGGTCAACACCTCCCTGCCAGCTAGCACCAGGGTACTACCAGCGTGGGCTGCTGGCTTTTGTCCTGGGTCTGACCCCCTTGCGTGGGACTCGCAAAATATCTATAATAAGGTTAGAAAAACTGTAGAGATTCCCCCAGGTCACATCTGCCCCGGCCTCTTCCTGTGACTTACTCTCCCCGTCAAGATGCAGTGGGGGGAGCCGTGGTTTCCTTTCTCTTCTGCTCGCTGTGTTTCCAGCTCTGCTAGCTTAAAGGAGCCAAGTACTGAGCCAGGGCATTTCTGTGGGGAGCAGGCCAGCTTGCGTGCACTCCTCAGGCGTAGCGAGCGCCTCCCGGTCGTTAGCAGAGTGCAGTGGGTAGAAGGATGCAGGCCTGTTCCACAGAGGGAACTGAGGCACAGGAAGCCCAAGGACCAGGTTTGTAGACGTGTTTAGGTGCTTGGCGCCTATTGAGTTCAGCGAGAGTTAGGCGGCTAAAAACCTTTACAAGTCTGGCCTTAAGTCACTTGCCTGTGATTACGCGCGTGTTGATGACAGAGCTTGCAACTGAACCCAGTGTAGTCGAATCCAGTGTCAGCCTGGAGGCCACCCTTCCTCTGGCCTTCTGTTACTGCCGGGGTTATGTGAACAAAGGTTTCTGGAACTTGGGGGACCTATTTTCTTGTGGCACCCCCCTCCCAGCCCCCATCTGGGCCTCTTACATGGTGCCACAGACGTTACCTGCATTACATCCAAGGGCACATGGGGCCTTCCCTGGCTGAATCCAGGCTGTGTGCAGTTCTCCAAGAGCAGAAGGACCCACCTCATCCCATCTCTTTGTTCCCACAGGTTCCCAACATGCCTGGGGCAGGCATACAAGGAGGCGGTATGCCAGGGGCAGGCATGCAGGGAGGCGGTATGCCAGGGGCAGGCATACAAGGTGGCGGTATGCCAGGGGCAGGCATACAAGGAGGCGGCATGCCGGGGCCAGTGGTACAGGGAGCTGGCCAGCCAGGAGGCTTTAGCCCAGGCCAGAACCAGGTCACCCCGCAAGACCACGAGAAGGTGAGTAAACAAAGGGCAATGGGATACCCTTTGCAGTGGGAATGAACTCAGCACTCCTCTCTGGCACGGCAAGAGAGGCCGGTGTCTTGTAGTTTCTGTATTGGGGCTAACTCAAGCTGGGGAGTTCATGCTCCTGCAGCTTCCCAAGAGAATGATCAGTAGCAGCAGCAAGACGGGTGGTTTGAAATGTTTCCTGTGGCCAAAGAGCCAGGTCCTTTCGCGAGAGTTTATATTGCTCCTGCTCTTTGCCTTCGCTTTCCTCCCTCCAGCAGCCTGGTCTCTAGGTAGCGTCCTCACGATTGGCTTTGCTGCCCCCTCTTCCTTGGGAAATTGCTCTTGCACGTGACCTTGCAGATCCTGCCCTTTCTCTCCACAGGCCGCCCTGATCATGCAGGTTCTCCAGCTGACTGCAGACCAGATCGCCATGCTGCCCCCAGAGCAAAGGCAAAGTATCCTCATCCTGAAGGAGCAGATCCAGAAATCCACTGGGGCTCCATGAGGAGGTGAGATGGGGCGGAGGCCACGTTACTGGGAGGGGACAGGCTGCAGGCAGCAAGGTGGTGGGATAGCTCGCGTGAACAAAGGGTGCGGGGGAAATGTAGAGGGCAGTTTGAAATGGAGAAGACCCCCAACACGGCCATTGAATTGGATGCCCTATGGCCTGCCCTGCTTGGGGCTGGCTGGCTGGTGGGTTTCAACTAGGGTACCTAGAGTTCTTCCAGGGAGTCCGTGAACTCCTCTAGATTTTTGCCAAGTTGTACGACAGACCACACAAAAAGTGCTAGAGTAGTTGGTGCGGACTAAAATTTCACACAGTGACTTGTGTATACTGCTCTCTATCCTGTACACTGAAATGTAAGTGCAATGTTCATATTCCATCTGATTCATAATTATACCAGAAGATTTACCCAGCATTGTTCGGGTCTTTAACACAAATAATTTTGTTTTTCTTCATTTCCGTCATTGCTCTGGGATGGGGATGGGGAGGAGGGGTTCAGTATGCAGGCTGACCTGGAGAGAGAGCTACCCCAGCCCTTTCTCACTCCAGCAGCTTAGGACCAGGTGCAGCCAGGGGCCGAGTGTATGTCCCCCAGCTGGGGGACAGACATACTCACAGGCAAACTCTTTGAAATATATAGTAGATAGTGTCCCTTTCTTCACCCCTGCTCCATGCTTGCCCAGTAGGGTTAGCACTGTCTCAGTCCCCATCGCTGGCCCCTTGCTGCCCCCCTGTGGTCATTCTGCATTATAACTGTCCCTTCTACCAGACCCCTCCCTTTCCATTTTATGAGAAACAGTCCCATTCCAGGCACATCCCATTGTCCTGGCACAACCAAACCCTGACCTTGCTGTAAGTTAGGATGAGAGGAAGCTGCCTACCAAATTTGGTGTCCTAGCTCTTACTGTTTAGGAGGAGTTCTTGATAGACTCACATTTCTAAAATATACAGTAAGAAGATGGGGATAATGAGAAAGGAAGCCATTTTTCAGTACTAGTGGGCTGTGAGAATTTTGAATTTTTATGTCCGATTTTGTAAGCAAGTAGTTTTTAAGTGAGGAGAAACTTGGGTACGCAGGGCAAATCAGACTCCGGCCAGGATACAGTCGTCTGGAAAGGTTGTGAGCCTCATAGGGTGGCCTTGCTGTAGGGAGGGTCACTGCTGTGTCTGGTGCATCTCCTGTGATGTCTGTCAGAGGGTTACCGTGCTGGGGCTTGTGGGCTTTGTTTGCTGCTCGGGGCAGGAGGGGAGGCGCCCAGTGCTCCTGCAGCGGTTGGATGGAAGGCCATGGTGGCACGTTCCTTTGTTGCATGTCAAATGGGAGGCTGAGGGGCTAGACAGGGCACATTGCTAGACTGTATTCAGCTGTCCTGGAGAGAGCAGCGACTGGCCAGTGGCACCCAGCGAAACCCTGCGTCTGCAGCCGCTGTGCTAAATCTCTTTAAAGCCCTAGGCTGTGATAGTGCAGGAGCGCTGCTCCGGGAAGAGCTGCCATCGTGCTGTGGGATGCTCCCATGGGCTGGGCCGCGGCCTGTATTTCTCCTGGGAATCCACAATGGCGCAGGCGGGCACTGAGCCGTCTGCCCTGTGCTGCTCAGAGTATTTCTCCTGGGAATCCAGAATAGCGCAGGCAGGCACTGAGCCGTCTGCCCTGTGCTGCTCAGAGCTAGGGAAAGGCTGCAGCCCCCACAAAGCCGCCTACAAAGTGGGATGATGAGGTTGCTCTTGCTCCGTTCCCACAGGCCTCCCCTGCCTGTGTCACTCAAAGCAGAGTTTCCCTCCCCTCAAGTGTCCCCCTTTACTTCTGCAGAGCTCAGAAGACACTTGGTGACCCCGGCAGCAGCCCTGAAGATGAAGACCGGTGGGATGGAGGAGGCGCCCGAGGCCACAGCTTCACCTCATCACCGGCTGACCTGGTGCAGTCATCGGGGGAGGGTTCCTCCGTCCTGCCCAGTGTAACCCCCGTACTGTTCGTTCTCTGTGTTTTGTGTGTGTGTTTTACAGTATTTGAAATAAACTTGGAGGAGGAGGATTTGAGTACAGGCCATGGCTGTACCTGAGACGGCCTCCATCAGGCACCTCTCTCTGAGCCTGACTCAGAAGCACTAGAGATGGCAAAGGCCTCTCGGTTGCTCATGTCAGCCCTCACCTGGCCAGGAATGGCGGCCTCTCTCCAGGGTAGTCAGGGAATTCCTTCCTCTGCTGCAGCACGTCCTGGCTCTAGGACGGCTTGAGAGTCACCTCGACGCTGCAGACATTGAACTCCATGTTTTCAGCCTCGTTCCCTTAACCACACAAGGGGGTTTTTCAGGCTGCTCTGAGTTCAGTGTGCCTCTTCCAGAAAGGGAGGAGGAGAAAGAGATGGCCCCTCCGGGCAGCCTGTTGCTATTTACTGAGCAGATTACTCGCCGTCTCTGGCCGGAGATACTCAGTAAACGGGCGTGTCTGGAGAAGGCGGATGCACTGAAGTTGTTATTTGGGGAGTGAAAAGGGACTGTGGTGGGACAAAGAGCTGAGTCAGTGTTACGCCTGCTCTGCAGAGTCTCATACATGTGGCCTCTGAGGAGTGAAAGAGGCATGAGGTGAAAATGTCGCCTTATCAAGAATGGTCCAGTTGATCTGGAGACCTTGCCAGGCACCAACCGGCCCCATTGAAAATGCCACTTCTGTGTCATTGTTCTGTCATGAAAAACCCCATAGGTGAAAGCAAAGCCATTTCTTTTGCGACAGCCGGCACGTGGGAACACTGGGGCTGCAGGAGCTGTAGCGAGGTTTCTGAGGAGCCCTTGCCAAGGCACCGGGGATGGAAATGTATTGGCTGCACTTGGTTGAGTGAAGTTTGTCTGGAGCCTTTCTCTAAGTGAATTGCGTGCTGGTATATGACACTGAATTCAGCCCTGGAGCACTCCGCCCACAACTGGGTACGTGACGGGAAGGCACAGCTCTTCCCAGAAGAGTCCTTACCCTGGGGCATATCCTTCCGTGGAAGGTCTTCAGTGCGAAGCTCATCTTACATTCGCTACCAGTCCTGAAGGCAGGCGGCTACACCCCTTTGCTGGCAACTGGGGGAGCAGCTGTGGCTGCTGTTTCATTTAC